ACAAAATGAGAAAAAAAAAATCCAGAAAATCACATTGTAGGATTTTTAATGAATTTATTTGCAAATTATGGTGGAAAATAAGTATTTGGTCAATAACAAAAGTTTCTCAATACTTTGTTATATACACTTTGTTGGCAATGACACAGGTCAAACGTTTTCTGTAAGTCTGTAAGGTTTTCACACACTGTTGCTGGTATTTTGGCCCATTCCTCCATGCAGATCTCCTCTAGAGCAGTGATGTTTTGGGGCTGTCGCTGGGCAATACGGACTTTCAACTCCCTCCAAAGATTTTCTATGGGGTTGAGATCTGGAGACTGGCTAGGCCACTCCAGGACCTTGAAATGCTTCTTACGAAGCCATTCCTTCGTTGCCCGGGCGGTGTGTTTGGGATCATTGTCATGCTGAAAGACCCAGCCACGTTTCATCTTCAATGCCCTTGCTGATGGAAGGAGGTTTTCACTCAAAATCTCACGATACATGGCCCCATTCATTCTTTCCTTTACACGGATCAGTCGTCCTGGTCCCTTTGCAGAAAAACAGCCCCAAAGCATGATGTTTCCACCCCCATGCTTCACAGTAGGTATGGTGTTCTTTGGATGCAACTCAGCATTCTTTGTCCTCCAATCACGACGAGTTGAGTTTTTACCAAAAAGTTATATTTTGGTTTCATCTGACCATATGACATTCTCCCAATCCTCTTCTGGATCATCCAAATGCACTCTAGCAAACTTCAGACGGGCCTGGACATGTACTGGCTTAAGCAGGGGGACACGTCTGGCACTGCAGGATTTGAGTCCCTGGCGGCGTAGTGTGTTACTGATGGTAGGCTTTGTTACTTTGGTCCCAGCTCTCTGCAGGTCATTCACTAGGTCCCCCCGTGTGGTTCTGGGATTTTACTCACCGTTCTTGTGATCATTTTGACCCCACGGGTGAGATCTTGCGTGGAGCCCCAGATCGAGGGAGATTATCAGTGGTCTTGTATGTCTTCCATTTCCTAACAATTGCTCCCACAGTTGATTTCTTCAAACCAAGCTGCTTACCTATTGCAGATTCAGTCTTCCCAGCCTGGTGCAGGTCTACAATTTTGTTTCTGGTGTCCTTTGACAGCTCTTTGGTCTTGGCCGTAGTGGAATTTGGAGTGTGACTGTTTGAGGTTGTGGACAGGTGTCTTTTATACTGATAACAAGTTCAAACAGGTGCCATTAATACAGGTAACGAGTGGAGGACAGAGGAGCCTCTTAAAGAAGAAGTTACAGGTCTGTGAGAGCCAGAAATCTTGCTTGTTTGTAGGTGACCAAATACTTATTTTCCACCATAATTTGCAAATAAATTCATTTAAAATCCTACAATGTGATTTTCTGGATTTTTTTCTTCTCAATTTGTCTGTCATAGTTGACGTGTACCTATGATGAAAATTACAGGCCTCTCTCATCTTTTTAAGTGGGAGAACTTGCACAATTGGTGGCTGACTAAATACATTTTTTCCCCACTGTATCTATTTCTCATTCTGTGGAATCATCCAAAATAATAATTATTAGCGACCATGAGGAATGGGATGAGTAATAAATAATACATAAATAATTAATGATCCATTTTTTTACTTAATGACTGGCATAGCAGTGATTGTGAAACGCTTTTGTATTATTTTATCTTTGAGAATTTCATCCATTATGTCCTTGAAAGCAAGCATTAATGTTTGTAATCTGCTTTCCTGGGAGCTTGCTTACCTTCGAGCTTTACGATTCATGACATCTATTGGGATAGGCATACTAATAGATATGGCCTGTACAAGTAATTGTTTTTTGAGTGTCAGTAACCTGAAACAATGGTTTAGTTTAGTTTATTAGGATCCCCATTAGCTACTGCACATGCAGTAGCTACTCTTCCTGGGGTCCACATAAAACATACAAATACATGACAAAGTACAGAACAGTTATAGACAAGAACAACATAAAATATTACATTAAATTCAAAATAAAAAATATTATGCGGATTGACCTGCGATTTCTGGGAATTTGTGACAATGGAGAATGCACTGATCCTGTGGTATCAGAGACACATAAACAGATATATCTGATTGGAAACAACAGACAAACAAAGCGCAACTATGATCCCTGACAACAACAACTACAGAGTACCGTTATCTGATAACTTTATTAACAAGTTAAAAAAAGACAATGAATTACAATATTTACAGAATATCCAGAGATAAAATGGAATACAATTGTAAACAATCATTCTAGGTAATATCACAACCCACCATCAGGAATCATTTTCACAGGAGAAAGGCAAGATGGAGAATCTAAAGTAGTCAAACAATAGAGAACAGTCTGAAGAGAAGAGGAGAGAAACATAAAGGAAACAAACTAAATTTATACATACAAGTATCCAGTGTGTTATGACGAGCAGGGGTTAAATTGGGAGGTGGGAGGAAGGGGTGAGACCAACAACCAACAGAGTCCCACCACCTTAGGGTACAGTGGACACTGTATACAGTGAGTATTTAATAGACTTCTATTAAAAATGGACCATGGAAAAGCAACCAATTTGGGGGACAGAGAGACAGGACAGTTCCAACCACCTTACAAAATCCCAAATTAACCCCACTTCAAAAGCTTATTTCTTCAAACAAACATTTCTCTAATGGGTTAATGTTTAAAAAGCTAAGCTAGTCCTTTTAAAGGATAGGAGGAGGAGGGGTAAAAGATTCAGCACCAAATCACCCCCACGTTGTTGTTTTTAAAGGTAAAAAGAAAAGAAGACATATTTCTTATCAACCAGACGTTGTACAACAGCTTATTATAACATTTGGATTTGGGAGTCTGAAAAACAGCTCACTCCAAAGGTTTTTATGTTTTTACTTGATATTTTTTTGTTTGTTTGTTTAATATGAGACCAACACCTAAAGGAAAAAGGTAAACATTTCCTTTCTGAAACACCACAGTTTCAAACACTTGACAAGTAGTTTGTTTTTCTATACACAGCTGCATATCACATATGTGCATGCATGACTCTCAGAATGCACCCTATAGGGGACTAGGATTCTACCAGAGCCATATATACATGTATTTATGTCTCTGGGTTCCAACCCCCTTTGCAACAATGGTTCGTTACTCAGGAAAGAAGCCGTCTAAATAGCCAGCTAAATATTTTGGTACCAAGAGCACGTTTCCATTTTTTGCGTTTCTCCTTTGATGGCTCAAAGGAGTTATATTACAGATACACTGTCAATCACTTTGTATTGGTTTGTTTGTAATGGTTCCAACCAACCAGTGTTGGAAAGAAAGCATTTCTATTGATGAAGCTTGAAATAATTGCTAATAAGGCTTTGGGGTATTTGAGCAGCAACTTCCAACATATACAATCTCTGCCTTATTTGTCAAAACAGCGTAGTCTAAAAGGAAGCATACAGAAGAACAGACTCTTCAGAATCAGCTCCATACACAATGATAGAATCATAGAATACAGCATTTTATACTGCAGAATGTAAGTTAAACACCCAAGTGTTCTACTTTCACATTGCTGGTCAGTCACATTTATAATCCTTTTCTCTAGCATACTTACAAGTTCTCTTACAAATGCTGTCACAATTATCTGTTGATGAGGTGAATTAGCTGCTTACATCATGCCATTTTCCTCACATTAATGTCAGAAAGAAAACTACAGCTTCTGGATGTACAGTATTCCCTCTATTTTCTTCTGACATTGATGACATGTACTGTATCACAGACTACAGTGTAGGTTTAAAACAACATCCAACTTGTTATCGATAGACAAAAATAGCAAGGAAATCAATGCCACAATAATAAACATAATTGATTCAAGCTGCTGGTTATCATGTTGTGGGGACACTTGTGTCAGTTCACTTTCAAATTTACAACTGTCAGAAGATGGACAATAGACAATAAAAGCAGTATTAAAGAGTGGAAGTGCTGGGAATGCCTAAGGCTGAAGGCATATTTATCATATTCAAGGGTACTACTGTATATAACAATTTGCTATATATAAACTTTGGGGCAAAAGTCAAGTCAATATTCAAAAAATGTAACAAATCAAAGTTTGCAATATACTATAGATAAATAAGGTGCAACTATTCCTCAAGGAATTATTCTACTTGATTAATAACACAAGGCTAAAAATAAAACATAAACTAATGTAAAGTTATCATCCGGGTCAAATCACAGAAACCGTTATACTGTATGTTTTACAGCTAGTATGGATGGGGTGGAGAGTGACAGCTGATCTAGGATCAGGTCCCCCCTGTCCATATAATCTAAAAGGCTAAACTGATCCTAGATCAGCTCTCCTACTCTGAGATGTTTTATGAATATGGGCCCAGGTCATGATGAGTCTCTCAACATTACAACACTAGATGATGGGATTATAAGGATATTAGGATCTAGTTGGTAGCAGTGAGGTTAAAAGCGGTCAGTGAACTAAATGCGGTAGCTCATACAGTAGGTTATCTATCTTTAATGAACCCCTCGTTTGGAACTTCCAAGGGGTCAGTAGGCCTACGTATATCTAAAAAGAATATTCCCCCAATTTCAACATTATTTCCCCAACATTCCTTCCCCCAATTTAGAACATGATTTTGGGAAATGTGACCCACTCTTTCTTTCTCCAAAATATCGTAGTTAGTAGACATGAACTTTAAACTGTAGAAACTGCAGATTTGACCTTAATGTGTGCTTTACAGTACCATTCACTATTGGTTACCAATATATTAACATCTGTCCTACGGGACTAGTGACTCATTTTAAGGTTTAGCCATTTAAAAAATGTAGGATGTAACACAACCTATAGTTTCCAATATGTAACACTTAAAATCTAACAATGCTCCAAAAGGTGACAATGCTTTTTTGTTTCCATAATTTTATTTTATTTCTTTAGCAGCCTATTTTGGATACCCAACCCAATATCAATATCAATCCAACCAAATGTACGGTCTCTAGCAAAGTGACTACAATGTTAGGCCAGAGTACTCTTCTCTTCCATCTTCATTTTTTGGTCTCAAGCATTTCTTTGTTGTCTTCCTCATTCAGATTGTTACTACTCTGTGATAGGTCGGAGGCATATTCTCTCTCCACCTCCATGCCGTTGCTAGATAGGTCCACTCGTCTGTCCGTCATCGTCACAATGGTCGACAAGCCAATAGGAGGCAGAGCTGAGGCTGATGCGTCTATTGCTGGGGTAGTGCTAGTGTCAGTTCTGCTGTTGGTAACAGTCCTGTATTGCGATGAGAGGGAGAAAGGTCAATGTCCATCATCACAGGAACATATTGGGGGAAAACAGGCAGAAGAAAGAGGAAGGGAGGAAGAGGGGTAAGGAGAGAGAGAGAGGGAGAGGTAGGGAGGGAGATCGGGAGGGAGAGAGAAAGTATGTGTGTGAGGCAGAGATCTAGGAAGATATGGAGGGAGAGAGGGAACGGGAGATGGAGAAAGAAGGAGAGATGGAGGTAGGAAGAGAGAGAGAGAAAGAGACTTACATGCCGTGTCGGAGGACGTGTCGTTCCCACTCTATGCTGTTAGTGAAGCAGCGACCACAGAACTCACAGGGGAAGCGCTTCTCAATGGAGGCAGTCACACTGCTGCTGCTGGGGGAAACTACTGGGATATCTGGGGAACAGACAGAGATCAGCATGATGAGAGGGGCACATGATACGACATCAGCCCAGACAGATACAGCAGAGACCCAGTCATGTCAGATTACAAGGTTGGAGTGAATACCATTTAAATTCAGGAAGTAACTGAATCGGAATTTCAGTTTACTCTCTGAATTGACTGCATTAAAATGGGACTGACCCCAACCCTGTCGGTAACAGCCGACAGAGATTGATTTGGCATTGTTAGTCATATTGTTAGTAGTAAGTAAGTAGCCTTGCACGAGCCTTGGCTTTTGCGAGCCGGAATGGCTCATAGGGCAGGAACCTGTCTCCTGTTTCTGTAGCGTGAGGCAGCTTTATGTACAAGTACACCGCCTGGACAGGACGCTAGTCTATCGCAGGGCCTTACCCCCAATCTATCTCCTTAATGCTGAGTTCCAAACGGAGACGCATCAGGTCCCATTTCTACAGTCTTTGGTATGACTCGGCCAGGGATTGAACTCACAACCATCCAATCTCAGGGCGGACACTAACCACAAGGCCACTGAGTTGTTAGTCATATCAATAATGATGATGAAGATCCTTGTTTACCTTTTGGAGCTGGCTTTTCTGCCTCTTCCTCTTCAATCCTTTTCTCCTCCTCCTTCTTCTGCTCTAGCTCTTCATCTCTACTCTCCTCCATCTCCACTTCATCCTCCACAATCTCTTCCTCCATCGCTCCTAATCCATCCTCCTCTCGCTCCTCTTCCTCCTCGGCACTACTGTTCCTCTCCTTTATAGCATCCAGCTGATCCAGGTTGACCCGCCCCATCAACTCAAAGTTACGGATCACCTGATCAACAAAAAAAGGGAGGTATGATTGATTGATTAATTAATCAATTGATTTATCAGTATGAGCAGTGTTGCAGTGGAGGGTAAACGCAGTTTACGTGCCTTTTTTTATTTTGCGCAAGGGTTTTCCCACATTTTGAGTAAAAATGCATTGAAAGTATAGGAAGAGTTACTTTATTCACTGTGAATGGCGATTTCTTTTCCCACTACATCACTGAGTATGATTAAATACACTAAGACCAATTGAAGCCATTGTTTTACAATCAAGGTATCCAAGCCTTTTGGGTTTTCATCTCTGAGGGTAAGGTGTGCCAAAACGGAACTGTATACAAGTTGATACGATCTCATGATTGTCTCAGGATGACATCCTTAGAAAACTGCCTGCTTTAAACAGTAAGTAGGTAATGTTGGATAATTTTATTTTAAAGCCGACCCATCCTACCAAATGTAAGCTCTCCAGGCAATTGTATTAAAACAGCTGACCGTAGGGGGTTATGTATCCCAGAGTAAAAACAGGGTTATGATATATCAACACATGTTTATGGACAGGAAGAGGACAGGGGGAGCATATGTGCCAGACAGGGTGCATGCTAGGACTTGTAGTTCTGAGTCTGACCTACCTTGTGCTCGTCTCGGAGATGTGTCTCCAGCTGGTGGCGCTGCCTGCTGTCATAGTAGCACAGCTGGCACTGGTAGGGTTTCATCTCATTGTGCTTGGTGATATGCAGCTGCAGGCTCTGGTCGCTGGAGCAGGTGAAGGTACACTTGTGGCAGTGGAACACCACGCCGGCCAGGTGGCGAGACAGCTTGTAGCGAGACACTTCCAGGGGCACCACACGCTCCTCTGGGGGAAGGAAGGAGAGGGTAGAGGGAGGGAGGGAGGGGGGAAGAGAGAAAGATATTACTATTGTGTCAACAGCATCACAGCACCTCCAACTGTGAAGTTGTAACTTCGTAAGTATAGCTAATCACTTTGGTGTGCGACAATACGGTGTGATCTCTAGCACTGCAAGACTAGTACAGCTTTGACTTTTAGGAGGACTCAATGAGATCCTCCCGCCTGGCACTAACAGTTATTTCCCTCTGAATTGTCTTAACAAAATTTGAGCACATAAAACAAGTAATCACAGGTTTTGGCTTGGCTTACCCCTGTGCAGGACAATGTGGTCGATCATATTGCTCTTGTATTTGGTGTGGTAGAGACAGAGGGGACAGCGTAGGTCTTTGGGACCCTCCTCAGGAACCACGGTGTGTCCTGCTTCCACGTGCATGGTGAATGTCGACCTGAGAAGAACAGAATAGATGTAGTGAGGCCGAATGGACATAAGAAGAAACAACAACCCAACCGTCATCGAAATAAGAAAAGGAAGATATAGGCTATTTCTCAATGTGTCTTTCCTTGATTTCTCACGTCCACTCTCCTCTCCACTTTCTCAAAATGTTTTGGAGGAGAAGGTCCGAAACGACGAACCTTGGATCCTCTCCTCCAATGCGGTTTGAGAAGGAAGAAAGAGTACGTGATTGAAATTGAAAAAGATGTTGTCACAGTAACATTCATTTCCTTACTTGGAACAGGTGAAGAAGGAGCAGTCTTTGCACTTGAACAGCTTCTTGCCTCCATGTCGGTCTCTGTAGTGGCGTCTCAGGCTCTGCATATATCCCGAGCTGAACTCACAGAACTCACAGGTCAGGATGCCGTCCGGCCGGGTGTCAGAGGTCGCAGCCTGGGGCCGGGCGGTGGGGCTGGAGGATGTCACATGACTACGAGACGCCACCTGGTAGTGACTGAGCTGCTGCCTCACGTCCGCCGTCTCATGCAGGTACCCAGCGTCTGAGAGAGAGAAGTGTGTCACTGTCAATATTGACAGTTCTGTAAGTCGCTTTGGATAAAAGGGTCTGGTAAATACTCATATCATATATTACAGAGAAGGGCTAAGTGTAGACACGGTGAATGATAATCATGAGGAAATATTAGCATTAACCAGGATACAGTAACTTCCTAACACACTTCCAGGAACAGAATCTGAGAAGTGTGAGGATCTGAAGTGTGTTGGGTTTTGCTTCTAGAATTCCAGAGGATTCTGGAATGGAATTCAAACCCCACCACAGCTCTACTGTATCATCCCAGAACTGTGCCTGTGATTGTCAATGAGCAACCTCATCTACTTGTCCTATTTCCAGAGTACACCACATCAATAAATAAAACCAAGTGCCGGTAATAGGATGTCTGCATGTGAAAAATACTTCATTCAGCACAGTGGCAAGATGAAGCGAGCACAGAAAGACTGTTGTATGACTTTTTAAAATGCATTTCTTACTTTCTTACTTTGGAAAGAAAATTGGGTCCCGCTTTAAATTACGTTCAGCTTATAAAGGTTTCATAAAGCCTTCGTAAGCACTACGTAAATGTGTTACAAAGCATCTATAACCGTATGTCATGCTTTATAAAGGGTTCATAAATGTATCATTACTGTGTGACATAATCACCAATGTCAAATGTGACATAACCCTCGATGTCGAATATGATATAAACATGTGCTTTATAAAGGGTGACATGTTGTGCTGAAGGATGGCACACTCTCTAAAGTGAAGTCATGTTAGTCATATTACACCTAATCCCGTTTCCAGACCCTTCCGCCCAAATGCGTGGAAGGTCTGGTGGACCAACGCATCAAACTTGGCCTTCATTAGTTAAGGTTAAGTTTTAAATTCCATTTTAAGAAAATAAATTGTGGCCATAATTATTACTTTGTGGCTGTGTTAAATAAAGACGACCAGTGGAAATTATGACAAATACTTTACTCAGTAAGGTCACTCCCATAGTGGGCGTGACCATAGAATTCTAAGGCCAACATTGACAACAAAGAAACAGCCATATCTCAGACTGGCGAATAAAAAGAAAAGATTAAGATGGGCAAAAGAACACAAACACTGGACTTTTTCTTTGCAACTCTGCCTAGGGCAGGGGAGGAATAGACGCAGCGTTGGTTCACTATGAGGATTTCACTGCCAAATATACATTCAATTCTCTGGCAACAGCTCTGGTGGACATTTCTGCAGTCAGCATGCCAATTGCACGCTCCCTTAAATATTTTGACATCTGTGGCATTGTGCTGTGTGACACAACTGTACATTTTAGAGTGGCCTTTTATTGTCCCCAGCACAAGGTGCACCTGTGTGATGATCATGCTGTTTAATCAGCTCATTGGTATGCCACACCTGTCAGGTGGATGGATTATATTGGCAAAGGAGAAATACTCACTAACAGGGATGTAAACAAATTTTTGCACCAAATTTGAGAGAAATAAGCTTTTTGTGCGTATGGAAAATTTCTGGGATCTTTTATTTCAGTTCATGAAACATGGGACCAACACTTCTTAAGTATATAAATTCAGACACTTTTTGTCATTCTTAACGCATACATAAAGGCTTAATGATGTAAACACAAATGTATTAACACTTAGGGAATTATCACTAACAGCTAAAACAAATAAACATTAAAGACATGTTTAAACCATACATTTCCTTTTATTTTTAAAACAATACACATACATTTCCAAAAGTCCAGCAATGTAATTTCATTGAACATCACACAGGGCTGTGAACAGTGTAGCTTGTTCCTGAGCTGGCGGACGAATGGTTCTTGACACTGCATGCTGGAGGTAGCTACTGCATGTTGGTTCCAATCTTAGAAAGTTAGTAGGTCTGTTAGGAAATGCCTTTGTCACACCATATGGATAATGACATTTCTGTGCTGCGCCAGAAATACTCTAAAAGGTGAGATGGGAAACTCCATTCGATTCATGTTATTATATTCCTCTTCATTTACAGATTCCATGACATGACTATGAGACATGGCTGAGTCTAGGGGGATTTTTATTTACAGTAGCTGAGCCTGCTAGATACATTTCGTTAGCTAGCTATTTAGCGATTGTCACGACTTCCGCCGAAGTTGGTGCCTCTCCTTGTTCGGGGGGCGTTCGGCGGTCGTCGTCACCGGCTTTCTAGCTGCCACCGATCTACGTTTCTTTTTCCATTTGTTTTGTCTTGATTGTACACACCTGGTTCCCATTACATTATATAATTTCCCTATTTAACCCTCTGGTTCCCACATGGTTTTGTGCATGTTTAGTCTTTGTTTTGTGTCTGAGACTTATGTGAGCTGGTGTGTTTTCCCTGCGTGGAAATTAGTGTTGTTTATTTGTTCGAGTAAAGTACGTTGTTTACTCAGTTCTGTGTCCTGCGCCTGACTCCGTCCTACCGCTGCACATTGACACTTGATAGAAACACGCACCACATATGGAGTCAGCAGGTGCATCCAGTCCTCCGGTACCAGTGGAGGAGCGCGTCCAGCAGCACGCGACAATGCTCCAGAATCTTGGCACAGCCATGGATCGCATGTTGCAGACCATGGAGCGATGGGAGAGAGGGGGTGTTCCCACAACCCCATCAACTTCAGATCAACCCACACCGATGTCCACCCCTCCGTCACCTGGCCCCAGTGGGATTCGGCTCTCGCTCCCGAGGGCATATGATGGGACGGCTGCTGGGTGCCAGGGGTTCCTGCTCCAGGTGGAGCTCTACCTGGCGACCATCCACCCGGCTCCGTCGGGATACGAGAGCGTGTCCGCCCTGGGAGAGCGCTTGAGTGGGCCAACGCCGAATGGGGAGGAATAGACTCAGCGTTGGTTCGCTATGAGGATTTCACCCGCCGCTTCCGGGCAGTCTTCGATCATCCACCTGAGGGGAGAGCAGCGGGAGAACGCTTGTTCCACCTCAGACAGGGGAAGAGGAGCGCACAGGACTTCGCACTGGACTTCAGGACCTTGGCTGCCAGCGCGGATGGAATGAGAGGGCCCTGATCGACCATTACCGGTGTAGTCTACGTGAGGACGTTCGTCGGGAGCTGGCATGCAGGGACACCACCCTTACCCTCGACCAGCTGGTGGATTTATCTATACAGCTGGATAACCTGTTGGCCAACCGCGGACGTCCGGGTCAGGGTCCGTCCATTCCATCCCCCAGCACCTCGGACCCTACCCCTATGGAGCTCTGAGGTGCTGCTCTAAGGGTGACCGGAGGGGGGTCGTTTCCTGCACCAACTGTGGCCGCAGAGGGCACACTGCTGGTCGGTGCTGGGGAGGTTCGCCAGGGAGTCGAGGCAGCAGGCAGGGCACTGGTGGATCATCCCAGGTGAGTAGGCACCCGACTCACCCAGAGCTCCCTGTTGCGCACATGTGTGTATGCATAGAATTTCCAGAGTTTTCCCCGCATTCCCAGCATAAGGCGCTAGTAGATTCAGGCGCAGCTGGGAACTTTATTGACCATTCATTTGCACGTAGATTAGGGATCCCTATTGTTCCTGTTGATGTGCCCTTCCCTGTACATGCCTTAGATAGTCGTCCTTTAGGGTCGGGCCTGATTAGGGAGGTCACAGCTCCACTATGTATGAAAACGCAGGAGGGTCATGAGGAGAGAATTAAGTCTCTTCCTGATCGATTCTCCTGCGTTTCGTGTGGTGTTGGGGCTTCCCTGGTTGGCCTCTCATGACCCCACTATTTCGTGGCAACAGAGGGCTCTCAAGGGATGGTCACGTCAGTGCTCAGGGAGGTGTGTAGGTGTTTCCATAGGTGCAACTACGGTGGAGAGTCCAAACCAGGTCTCCACTATGCACATTCCCCCTGAATATGCCGATTTGGCTCTCGCCTTCTGTAAAAAGAAGGCGACTCAACTACCACCCCATCGACAGGAGGATTGTGTGATAAATCTCCAGGTAGGTGCAGCACTTCCCAGGAGTCACGTGTATCCTCTGTCTCAGGAGGAGACGGCGGCTATGGAAACATATGTCTCCGAATCTCTGGGACAGGGATACATTCGGCCTTCCACTTCACCTGCCTCCTTGAGTTTCTTTTTTGTGAAGAAGAAGGATGGAGCTTTACGCCTGTGCATTGACTATCAAGGTCTAAATCAGATCACTGTGAAGTACAGTTACCCACTGCCTCTCATAGCCAGTGTGACAGAGTCATTGCACGGGGCGCGCAACTTCACCAAATTGGATCTCAGGTGCGCTTACAACCTGGTGCGTATCCGGGAGGGGGATGAGTGGAAGACGGCATTTAGTACCACCTCTGGGAACTATGAGTACCTCGTCATGCCGTACGGGTTGATGAATGCTCCATCAGTCTTCCAATCCTTCGTAGACGCGATTTTCAGGGACCTGCACGGGCAGGGTGTAGTGGTGTATATGGATGACATTCTAATATACTCCGCTACACACGCCAAGCATGTGTCCCTGGTGTGCAAGGTGCTTGGTCGACTGTTGGAGAAATGTCTGTTCTTCCAACAGTCCGTCTCCTTCCTAGGGTACCGCCTGTCCGCGTCAGGGGTGGCGATGGAGAATGACCGCATTTCAGCCATGCGTAATTGGCCATCTACAACCACGGTAAAGGAGGTGCAGCGGTTCTTAGGGTTTGCCAACTACTACCGGAGGTTTACCCGGGGCTTTGTTCAGGTAGCGGCTCCCATTACCTCCTTGCTGAAGGGGGGACCGGTGCGACTGCAGTGGTCAGCTGGGGTGGACAGGGCTTTTGGTCACCTGAAGGCTCTGTTTACCTCGGCTCCCGTGCTGGCTCATACTGAACCCTCCTTTGCATTCATAGTAGAGGTGGACGCGTCCGAGGCTGGGATAGGAGCTGTGCTGTCTCAGCGCTCGGGTACGCCACCAAAGCTCCGCCCCTGTATTTTCTTTTCGAAGAAGCTCAGCCCGGCGGAGCGAAACTATGATGTGGGGGACCGGGAGCTGTTAGCTGTTGTCAGGGCTCTGAAGGCGTGGAGGCATTGGCTTGAGGGGGCTAAACACCCTTTCTTCATTTGGACTGACCACCGCAATCTGGAGTACATCCGGGCGGCGAGGAGACTGAACCCTTGCCAGGCAAGGTGGGCCATGTTTTTCACCCGTTTTGTTTTCACCCTATCCTACAGACCAAGTTCCCAGAACGCTAAGGCAGACGCACTGTCTCGGATGTATGACACAGAGGAGCGGTCCACGGATCCCACTCCCATACTTCCGGCTTCTTGCCTGGTGGCAACGGTGGTATGGGAGGTTGACGCGGACATCGATTGATCTGTTGGGCCAACACGTCACCCTCCTCTGGTCATCCTGGCATCGGTCGGACAGTGCGCTGTCTTGGTGGGAAGTACTGGTGGCCCACTTTAGCTAAGGACGTGAGGGTTTATGTTTCCTCCTGCTCGGTGTGCGCCCAGTGCAAGGCACCTAGACACCTGCCCAGAGGGAAATTACAACCCCTACCCGTTCCACAACGGCCGTGGTCACACCTAACATGGACTTCGTGACGGATCTTCCTCCGTCACAAGGTAACACCACGATCCTGGTCGTTGTGGATCGGTTTTCGAAGGCCTGCCGTCTCCTTCCTTTGCCCGGAATCCCAACAGCCCTACAGACTGCGGAGGCCCTGTTTATCCACGTCTTCCGGCACTACGGGGTGCCTGAGATTATAGTGTCTGATCGGGGTCCCCAGTTCACATCAAGGGTCTGGAGGGCGTTCATGGAACGTCTGGGGGTCTCGTCAGCCTGACCTCAGGTTTTCACCCCGAGAGTAATGGGCAGGGGGAGAGAGTTAACCAGGATGTGGGTAGGTTTCTGCGGTCCTATTGCCAGGACCGGCCGGGGGAGTGGGCGGCTTTCATCCCCTGGGCAGAGATGGCCCAAAACTCCCTCCGCCACTCCTCCACTAACATGTCTCCGTTTCAGTGTGTACTAGGTTATCAGCCGGTCCTGGCACTGTGGCATCAGAGCCAGATCGAGGCACCTGCGGTGGATGAATGGTTTCGGCGCTTGGAGGAGACATGGGACGCTGCCCATGTGCGCCTGCAACGGGCCATCAGGCGACAGAAGGCGAGCGCCGACCGCTACCTCAGTGATACACCGGGGGACCCGGGTCTGGCTCTCGACCCGAAACCTGCCCCTTCGCCTGCCCTGCCGGAAGCTGGGTCCGCGGTTTGTGGGGCCATTTAAAGTCCTGAGGAGACTGAACGAGGTATGCTATAGGTTACACCTCCCCCCGATTACCGTGTTAACCCCTCGTTCCGTGTCTCTCCTCAGGCTGGTGGTGACAGGTCCGCTCCAGCAGTCTGAGGTGCGGGAGGTTCCTCCGCCCCCTCTGGACATCGAGGGGGTCCGGCGTATACTGTACGAGCCATCATGGACTCAAGGCGTCGGGCGAGGGGCCTTCAGTACCTCGTGGAGTGGGAGGGGTACGGTCCGGAGGAGAGATGCTGGGTTCCGATGGAGGACATCCTGGACCCTTACTGCAGGAATTTCACCGTCTCCACCCGGATCGAGTAAAGTACGTCATTTACTCAGTTCTGTGTCCTGCGCCTGACTCCGTCCTACCGCTGCACATTGACACTTGACAGCGATTGCTGTGAAGTCACCAAAATGATTTGAAATAACGATTGAGGTAGCTATGTAATCTAACTCAACACTTAACTACTACAAACTAATTTAAATTACAATAAATAAAGGTACATTTACTAGTTTTTCACAGTCCAGTGGCACCACAAGTGGACATTTGATTTGCAAACTCATCACATGTGTGCTTACTGCACTACAGAAACACCGCTAACCACACAACAGTGCAGGGCATGAGCACTGAATTAAAGGGCAACTAGACTCAAAAATGGAAGTTTCTTAGATTTTTCCCAGACCTCAAAAGTCGTCCCCAATTTGGTTGTTTTTCTATTTAAAAAAGTGTGAAAAGAAAGTGTGGGAAAACCAGAATTTTGGGGGGGAAATCCGAAACCTGGCACGATAGCTCGTCATCTTAAAAATCAATTTACACTAGTATCACTACGATCACATACAGTCAAGCAACAGACAAGATCGTTCATAGCTTAAAACTCTACACCTAATTAAAAGGTTAGCAAGCAATCCACCAGCTTTACCATGTTACCAAGCCACAAAGATTAAGAGAGTGAGAGAGAGAGAGATATTTGATATGCTCTGGTCCTCCTCAATGCTTCATTTGTCTGCTGTAGCCAACGGTGACATGGCGGTTGCATTCCATAATGCTTCTCTGCTCTGCTCTTAATGTGTTCCATGTTCTGTGTTCCACTTCCACCTAGAGGGAAAATTCCATTGTGCCAGCAGCAGATGACAGCTGCCAAGAACATTCTAGAACAGAGCGGACGGTCGGTTGGACACATGGAGAGTCAGGCACCTGACACGCTAGTTTAACACCTTCTGCGAACCAGTCATGGGTACAATCAGAAAGATAGATGCTGTTTGATCAGGTCTAACAACGTGAATCCTGTGATTTCAGAGGAAGACCATGCTTTTACTCCTATCACAATGTTTCCGAAAGCGGTGAAATGGGCTGCCCTGCTGAGTTCTGATGCTCTCCAGCCTTCAAATGAACAAGCCTTGTACTGGTAGTAATTGAAAATGTGTATTTGTGTCAACAGCTCCTAAACTGCATATCAGCGAATAAATGATAAATTAGGGCTCATTTGAAAAATAGATGTCAATCTCAATGTGACTTTCCTGGTAAATAAATAATAAATAAATAATAAATAAATCAAACCAAAAACTCTAAGATCAATAAAAGTCCCCCAATCTGTTAAATGCTACAGATGGAGCTCTTACCGTCAAGGTCAGAGGTCAGGGGTGTCTGGTGAGGATCTGAGCCCAGCCTGAAGGGCCTGATCTGGGGGTCGTGGCCGGCCTGTGGAACCTGGGTGTGGGTGGTAGCGCCAGCACGCAGCTTGGGGAGGGTCAGGGCCTGCCCATGGTCCCTCAGAGAGTGCTCCTTCAGCTGGCTGATAGTCATTGAGGAGAAGGGGCAGGACAAGCACTTATACGTGTTCTCGCCTGTAAAATAATAATAATAGAAGGGTTTTATAAAGCGCTTTTTAAGGACCTAAAGACGCCTGTGTGTGTCAAGAGTAAACAGGAATGAAATCAATATTTCATGAATCTCGCAGTTTTATTATGACCCCCTCTGGCATTAATAATTATCGCCCGATGTCTAAACTGTCTTGCCTGGCAAAATTCGTTGAATCTTTAATCAACACTCAGAACTTTGAATACATTTTGAAGCTAGAAAATATCTAAGTGTCCATCAGTCTGGTTTCAGGCCAGGTCATAGCACTATGTATATCTGCTGCTTCTTTGGTAATAAATGACATTGTAAATAGCATTGACAAAAGGCGGCATTGTGCTGCCCTTTTTATAGACCTGTCGAAGGCTTTCGACACTGTTGACCGTCCATTATTCATTCTTAGACTGTCTGAAATTGGCCTGGGTCAGGCAGCCTGCAATTGGTTTGAAAATTACCTGATAGACAGGACACAATGGGTTTCTTCTGATGGTGTTAAGTCAGGTTTCCTTGACATTACGAAAGGTGTTCCGCAGGGGTCGATTTGAGGTCTTGTACTTTTTACTGTCTATGTAAACAATATTTGTCTTTCTGCATTTTTTTTTTACATACACCTGTATGCAGATGACACCAGTCTCAACGTCAACAGTGAAGAGGCGACTCCGGGATGCTGACCTTCTAGGCAGAGTTGCAAAGAAAAAGCCAAATCTCAGACTGCCCATCTAGGCGTCTGTTTCTCAAACTAGACACTCTAATGTATTTGTCCTCTTGCTCAGTTGTGCACCGGGGCCTCCCACTCCTCTTTCTATTTTGGTTAGAGCCAGTTTGTGCTGTTCTGTGAAGGGAGTAGTACACAGAATTGTACGAGACCTTCAGTTTCTTGGCAATTTCTTGCATGGAATAGCCTTCATTTCTCAGAACAAGTATAGACTGACGAGTTTTAGAAGAAAGTTATTTGTTTCTGGCCATTTTGAGCCTGTAATCGAACCCACAATTGCTGAGTTTTCAGCTGTGCTAACATAATTGCAAAAGGGTTTTGATCAATTAGCCTTTTAAAATGATAAACTTGGATTAGCAAACACAACGTGCCATTGGAACACAGGACTAACGGTTGCTGATAATGGGCCTCTGTACGCCTACGTAGATATTCCATTAAAAATCAGCCGTTTCCAGCTACAATAGCCATTTACAACATTAACAATGTCTACACTGTATTTCTGATCAATTTGATGTTATTTTAATGGACAAAAAAATTGATTTTCTTTCAAAAACAAGGACATTTCTAAGTGACCCCAAACTTTTGAACGGTAGCGTACGTGTCACCAGACCCAATCGCAGGGATGGCTAACTCTAGAGGTTCCGTTGATCACTACAGAATTAGGTCAATCTTTCTGCACTTTGATGCTCTGGTGCATCTAGGGCAGTTCAAGTTGTTAATGAATGTTGTACATTTTATGAATTGTGCTCATGCAGGGCTTGGTCTCAATGGGTCTCCTTGCTAAAATAAAGGCCAAAAAAATATATATATATATATATGTTATGAGCACTTAATATAATTTCATTAAAGCCCAAGTCACAGTTCAAACCAACTAAAAAGAAAAGACTGATAGTGCAAAAGAAAGGACTATCTCTCTTTGGCAAAGGATCAGAAACTTTGGTCAGAAAGAAACTATTTTGAGAGTTGCTTTATCCAACTTAGTATAGAGTTGAGCATGTCAGTCAGTGTTCAGACTTTGAGTAGCACAAGACACAAAAATCTGCCTCTGTCCCCAATTTTCTATTTTTTACACTTTTTATGATGACCACCCCGAGTCCATTCAAGGGCAAATCGATTGGCTTGATACTATATTGTAAGGCCAAAAGCTTTCAGCCAGATAGACAGAGCCAGTGCCTGCCGACAGATCTGAAAAGAGGGGTGTTTACACTAATTTTCTGCTAATCTACCCTTGAATGACTTTTGCACCTTATCGAGAGAACCAATCACATGCCACAAGCTACCCACTGGGCACACCACGTCATTTCAACGTGGACATTTTGGTAATATTTGGTTGAGATGTTGATCAATGAGATTTCAACCTTTATTCACCCACTCAAAAGGACAGCAAGTAGTTTGTTGAATTCCCAATGTGTTATCCCTATGCTTTCAACCATCTAAAAGAACAACCAAATTCCAATAAAAAAAACAATGTTTGATTTTTGGTTTAGTTGTCTTAAACGTGTTATTACTGCGCTTTCAACCATTTAAAAGCACAACAAAGGCCTAGATCAGATTAAGCATAGCTGGTGCTTTGGCGGTGTCTGAGGTAGAGCTGTCATATCAGAGCGGCTGCTCGTGTGGTCATTATCACGAAGCCACACCTGTCCCACTTGTGTTAGAAGTTTAGAACGAGAAAGTGTAGGCTATATAGAAATAATGACATTCAAATTTAAAATCATTAAACAAAATAATGAGGATTTCTATCAGCCTAATCGAGGTGTAGATTACATCTCAAATTCCAGTGTTTGAACTTCCAGTGATTTCTCTTAATGCGACTTTGTGCAGCCAATGCCAATGTCCGCTTTAGGTATAATGCCGAAAGCCCTTGTAGATTTGACAGGTCTAACGCAGGTCCACCTCAGACACCGCCAAAATAACCGATATGCGGGTGTCGGCTAGCACGGATCTGATAGATTCTGGCCCAAGGTTCAAATGGGAATACAGTGTCAGATATTCTGTATTTATACATCTTCACTGTACTTCTTTTAATAGCACAACCAAAATGACCTGGATTGTATTTGAGAATGTGAAGATCTCCACAGACCTGCGACTTTAGCATGCTATCTTGAACATGCACGCTTTCTATGATTGCATAAGCAGACATTTATAGTTACTGTAACCTCAAAATGTGGCCATTGATGTGTTACTTGTTTTAAGGTTTAATAAATAAAGAGTTTCATTCCAAAACGCTGTATATCCATTTTTAGAAATGATGGTAAATTACCATTTACTGTTTAAATAAATAATTGGTGTGTTTTTTCACTATCTAATGTATTTCTTTAAAATCTATCACTTGATGGTTTCATTTCAGAGAGACAAATAATCATGTTTTTTTTTCAAAATGCTATACATCTGCCTCACTCTCAGAGAACTAAGTAGTACTGCTAGGTTTTACACAGTCAAATGTAACAAATAACTACATTTTTTATAAAAAACTGTACAAATGATACATTTGTTACATAATAATTCTCATGATAGCACATTGGTAGTAGTCAATTAAAAATATCAAAGCTAAGCTGGACTTGGTTTAAACCCTGGATGGGAGACTAAATGAATAGCTGTAGATAGATCAACTCTCCAGTAGGAGGTGCGGCCCAGCTTATTGTCTTTTTCTTTCTGATAGTGGATATAACATTGAAAATCTGACGTTGTTTCAAATGTACAAATTCAACATATTTAATACAAGGTTCATCTATGTTGAAAATTGGTTACCATGATGACATAATCCTGTGGTTGAAATTTTACACTCAAAACAACAGTTTTTATGATTTTTTGCAAATCCAATGTATTTTCCACATAGATTCCACGTCACAATGAGTTGACAAATTACGTTGAAACAACGTTGATTCAACCAGTTTGTGCCCAGTGTGTATGGATTCCACAGCATATACATGATACATTACCAAGGCAGCAATCAAAACCCACAGGCAAATAAGTGGCTGGCTGATTGTGAGATTGATACAATATACAACAGAAGCAGAAAACATGGTGTTTCGACACCACCACCAACAGACCATGTCAGAACACTTTCGAAATGTAATCAAATTCTAAATGGCTCTGGTTCGGAGTCGATAATCTGAATCAACTGTTGATTGTTGTTGACTCATCTTTCTGTGTTATTTTCCTATCATAACTGAGACAACATTCATGACTAGTCTTTCTACTCTCATTGTCATTTGTGATGATTGACTATCTATTCCTCTACTCTGGCGTTGGTTCACTGGCTGCATCTGTGGAATCAATTTCTGTAGACTATAGAATCCTTTGAGAAAATACAAAATATCTAATGAAAGAAACATAACATCGAACACAGAGCAAATATACAGGCTGCGTCTGCAATGGCACCCTTTACCCTATATAGTGCACTACTTTTGACCATTTTGGACTCAACCAAAGATATTCAATGCACTCAATGACAGACTCAGTTTAAGATATTCCCATAGGGGACATCCTAAGGGAATTATGATATTAGTGTTGATTTAAGATCCTCAAACAGCTGTGGTAAAGCCAGACATTCAGACTAGCCCACAGCCCAATACACAGCTGTGGACAATAACCCACTAGTCTGTTTCCAGATCAGTTTGTGCTGTTTAGCCAACTCGTATTTGGTCATGTTTGGCAGCATGAACAGATCTTGGACCAGCAGGCTAATAACCCACCCTGTTAAAGTACAAAGGATGAATCGTAACTTCCCCTTAAATCGATTTTGACTTAGTCTCCCATTGACATCAATGCATGACCAAGTAAAAATTATACTTACAGTGCCTTCAGAAAGTATTCACACCCCTTGACTTTTTCCACATTTTGTTGTGTTACAAGGTGGGATTAAAAGGATTTAATTATATTTTTTTGTCAACGATCTACACAAAATGCTCTGTAATGTCAAAGTGGAAGAACATTTAGAAATTTTTAAAAACATTTATGAAAAATAAATACAGTGCTATGAAAAAGTATCTGCCCCCTTTCTAATTTTCTCTACTTTGCATATTTGTGATACTGAATGTTATCAGATCTTCAACTAAAACCTAATATTAGATAAAGGGAACATCAGTGAACAAATAACACAACAATTACATATTTATTTCATAAACAAAGTTATGCAACACCCAATTCCCCTGTGTGAAAAAGTAATTGCCCCCTTACACTCAATAACTGGTTGTGCCACCTTTAGCTGCAATGACTCCAACCAAATGCTTCCTGTAGTTGTTGATCAGTCTCTCACGTCGCTGTGGAGGAATTTTGGCCCACTCTTCCATGCAGAACTGCTTTAACTCAGTGACGTGTGGGTTTTCAAGCATGAACTGCTTGTTTCAAGTCCTGCCACAACATCTCAATTGGGATTATGTCTGGACTTTGACTAGGCCATTCCAAAACTTCCAATTTGTTGCTTTTTAGCAATTTTCATGTAGACTTGATTGTGTGTTTTGTATCATTGTCTTGCTGCATGACCCAGCTGCGCTTCAGCTTCAGCTCACAGACGGATGGTCTGACATTCTCCTGTAGAATTCTCTGATACAAAGCAGGATTCATGCTTCCTTTTATTAAGGCAAGTCGTCCAGGTCCTGAGGCAGCAAAGCATCCCCAAACCATCACACCACCACCACCACCATGCTTGACCTTTGGTATGATGTTCTTACTGTGGAATGCAGTGTTTGGTTTTTGCCAGGCATAATGGGACCCATCTCGTCCAAAAAGTTGACTAAAGTTTGCCAAAAAGCACCTGGATGATCATCAAGAACGTTCTATGGACAGATGATTCAAAAGTATAACTTCTTGGTTCCAATAATGCCTGGCGAAAACCAAACTCTGCATTCCACAGTAAGAACATCATACCAAAGGTCAAGCATGGTGGTGGTGGTGTGATGGTTTGGGGATGCTTTGCTGCCTCAGGACCTGGACGACTTGCCTTAATAAAAGGAACCATGAATTCTGCTCTGTATCAGAGAATTCTACAGGAGAATGTCAGACCATCCGTCTGTGAGCTGAAGCGCAGCTGGGTCATGCAGCAAGACAATGATCCAAAACACACAATCAAGTCTACATGAAAATTGCTAAAAAGCATTAAATTGGAAGTTTTGGAATGGCCTAGTCAAAATCCAGACCTAATCCCAATTGAGATGTTGTGGCAGGACTTGAAACGAGTAGTTAATGCTTGAAAACCCACACGTCACTGAATTAAAGCAGTTCTGCATGGAAGAGTGGGCCAAAATTCCTCCACAGCGATGTGAGAGACTGATCAACAACTACAGGAAGCATTTGGTTGGAGTCATTGCAGCTAAAGGTGGCACAACCAGTTATTGAGTGTAAGGGGGCAATTACTTTTTCACACAGGGGAATTGGGTGTTGCATAACTTTGTTTATGAAATAAATATGTAATTGTTGTGTTATTTGTTCACTTATGTTCCCTTTATCTAATATTAGGTGTTGATTGAAGATCTGATAACATTCATTATCACAAATATGCAAAAGTAGAGAAAATTAGAAAGGGGGCAAATACTTTTTCATAGCACTGTATATATATCTTGATTACATAAGTAGTAAACCCCCTGAGTCAATACATGTTAGAATCACCTTTGGTAGCAATTGATTACAGCTGTGATTATTTCTGGGTAAGTCTCTAAGAGCTTTGCACACCTGGATTATACAATATTTGCACATTATTCTTTAAGAAATTCTTCCCACTCTGTCAAGTTGGTTGTTGATCATTGCTAGACAGCCATTTTCAAGTCTTGCCATAGATTTTCAAGCCGATTTAAGTCAAAACTCAGGAACATTCCAACGTTGTATTGGTAAGCAACTCCAATGTATATTTGGCCTTGTGTTTAAGGTTATTATCCTGCTGAAAGGTGAACTTGTCTCCCAGTGTCTGTTGGAAAGCAGACTGAACCAGGATTTCCTCCGTTTCTTTTTATTAAAAAAACTCCCTAGTCCTTGCCGATGACAAGCATACCCATAACATGATGCAGCCACCACCATGCTTGAAAATATGAAGAGTGGTACTAAGTGACGTGTTGGATTTGCCCCAAACATAACACTTTGTATTCAGGACATAAAGTTAATTTCTTTGCAGTTTTACTTTAGCGCCTTATTGCAAACAGGATACATGTTTTGGAATATTTTTATTCTGTACCGCCTTCCTATTTTTCACTCTGTCAATTAGGTTAGTATTGTGGAGTAACTACAATGTTGTTGATCCATCCTCAGTTTTCTCCTATCACAGCCATTAAACTCTGTAACCGTTTTAAAGTCACCATTGGTCTCATGGTGAAATCCCTGAGCGGTTTCCTTCTTCTCCGGCAACTGAGTTAGGAAGGACGCCTGTATCTTTGTAGTGACTGGGTGTATTGATACACCATCCAAAGTGTAATTAATAACTTCACCATGCTCAAAGGGATATTCAATGTCTTCTTTTATATTTTTACCCATCTACCAATAGGTGCCCTTCTTTGTGAGGCATTGGAAAACCTCCCTGGTCTTTATGGTTGAATCTGTGTTTGAAATTCACTGCTTGACTGAGGGACCTTACATATAATTATATGTGTGGGGTACAGAGATGAGGTAGTCATTCAAAAATCATTCTACATACTATTACTGCACACAGAGTGAATCGATGCAACTTATGTGACTTGTTAAGCAAATTTTTACTCCTGAACTTATTAGGCTTCCCATAACCAGTGGAGTAAAGTACTTAGGTAAAAATACTTTCAAGTAATACTTAAGTATTTTTTTGTTGTTGGTATCTGTACTTTACTTTACTATTTTTATTTTTGACAGCTTTTACCTTTACTTCACTACATTCCTAAAGAAAATAATGTACTTTTTACTCCATACATTTTCCCAGACACCTAAAAGTACTCGTTACATTTTGAATGCTTAGCAGGACAGGAAAATGGTCCAATTCACGCACTTATCAAGAGAACATCCCTGGTCATCTACTGCCTCTGATCTGGCGGACTCACTAAACACAAACGCTTTGTTTGTAAATTATGTCTGAGTGTTGGAGTGTGCCCCCGGCTATCCATAAATTAAAAAAACAAACAAGAAAATGGTGCCATCTGGTGTGCTTAATATAAGGAATTTGAAATGATTTATACTTTTACTTTTACTTTTGATACTCAAGTACATTTTATCAATTACATTTACTTTTGATACTTAAGTATATTTAAAACCAAATACTTTTAGACTTTTACTCAAGTAGTATTTTACTGGGTGACTTTCACTTTTACTTGAGTCATTTTCTATTAACTTATCTTTACTTTTACTCAAGTATGACAATTGGGTACTTTTTCCACCACTGCCCATAACAAAGGGGTTGAATACTTATTGACTCAAGACATTTCAGCTTTTAATTTTTTATTAATTTGTAAAAATTTCTAAAAACATAATTCTACTTTGACATTATGGGGTATTGTGTGTAGGCCAGTGACACAAAATCTAAATTGAATCCATTTTAAATTCAGGCTGTAAAACATTAAAATGTGGAAAAAGTCAACGGGTGTGAATATTTGGAAGGCACTGTAAGTAGAAGTTTTGCACCATAACAAACACTGACCACTCGTGAAGTCGTGGTGAGCACAGAGCAGTGAGGTGTGTGGTTTTTACCTGCGTGTGCTTTGTGCAGATGACTCTTCAATCGGCTCAGGTAAGCAGACTTAAAGGGACAGAGCTTGCATCTGAACGGCTTGTTGTGCCTGTGGTGAGACTGCACATGTCTGTCCAGACTGAGGAGAGAGACACAGACAAAGAGGGGAGAGAGTGAATGAGAGGAGGGGTAGACAGGGAGGGAGACAGAGGGAGACAGAGGGGGGGGGGGGGGGGGGGGGTTCAGAGATGGAGAGAAAGAGAGATATAGAGAAAGAAACGTCTACACCAGGGGTGGGCAAACTATGGCCCATTCAATCCAGCCCACGGGAGGTTTGATAAAACATTTTTAACAAATAACTCTTGAACGTCTATAACTAGATAGAAAGTATGTAGAAATTATAACAGACTTTTCAAATAACTGCCCTTTTCCTGAACCGCAAATTGATTTTGACAAACAAACCGATTAAAAAAGATCTGTGTGGTGCTCGAAATCCTGATGTGGCCCTTGAGACAAAATGTTTGCTCAACACATCACAACAGAATACTTCCAAGGGAGCAGATGGAATCTGTTTGCACCTAACTTGATTTTCTGAACCACAACTAGCAGATAATTTCCAATTACTATTGAGAGGCCATAAGGGAAAACCATCTACCATGGTCCCAGTATCCCTAGTGCATCTCTGTGTGTCTGACTGCAAACCACATAGAAGGTATCTGGGGAATATGAATGTGTTTTCATCCCAGCCTCTTGGGTGGCATAGGAACACATTTACTTTCTGGGTCAGCAGTACAGTGGGATTACACAAGGGAGCTGAGATGAGGTCTTTCAGCTTTGGATAAGAAGAAAAATGACACTACCAAAATGTCTGCCATGTCTGCACTGTCTCACTAGATTGGACTGGAGTGAGTTTTGGAGGAAATGTGCATTCCATCTAGCCTGGTGCCAGATCTCTTTGTGCTCTTTTCTACCCCATTGCTCCGTCATTGTCAATCACAAACAGACTGGCACTTAGGCTACATTCCTTCCAGAGTGTATGTTCGATATAAAGCACAGCTCAGATGACAGATGTAATAGAGTAAACACTACACAGAACAGAGCCACGCACACCAAGACATTAGAGGACACTATAATATATACACAGAGTGTACAAAACATTAGGAACCTAATATTGAGTTGCACCCTTTTTGTCCTGAGAACAGCCTCAATTTGTTGGGGCGTGGACTCTACAAGGTGTTGAAAGCGTTCCAGAGGGATGCTGGGCCATTTTGACTCCAATGCTTCCCACAGTTGTGTCAAGTTGGCTGGTAGTGGATCTCTACTCCAAATAGCTCGTTCCAGGTGACTGGGCAGGCCACCACAGTAAGATGAATTCACTGTCATGTTTCTGGAACCATTTCTGGACAATCCTAGCCTTGTGGCATGGGGCATTATCCTGCTGAAAAAAAATCTATTTGCACTGCTGCCATGAAGGGCTGCACCTGATTGGCAATGATGTTCAGATATCCTGTGACATTCAAATGTTGCTCCACTTGCCTTGAAAACACACCTGACACAATCACACCACCACCACCAGCCTGCAATGTTGACATGCAGCATAATGGATGCATGTACTCATGTGGTTTTCTCCATACCCTAGTCCTCCCATCAGCATGGAACAGCAGGAACCGGGATTCATCAGACCAGGCAATGTTTTCCCAATTCTCCAGTGTCCAGTGTTTTCGTTCCTTAGCCCACTGCAACCACAGTTTCTTGTTTTTTGCTGAAAGAAGTGCCACTGTAAGGTCATCAGCTGCCATACCACATTCGTGTCAAGGTACGACGAGTTGTGCATTCTTTTATGGGTCTTTGGGCACCAATGTTGTACTGGACAGTCAGTTGACTAACTGTAGCCAGTCTGTTGCTCTGCACAATTCGTGTCAGCTTCATTAGTCCTCTTTCATCAATGACCCGTTTTTGACCACTGGCCTGCCGTTGGCTGGATGTCCTTTGGGTGGTGGACCATTCTTGATACACACGGGGAACTGTTGAGAGTGAAAAACCCAGCAGTGTTGCAGTTCTTGACACAATCAAAGCAGTGCGCTAGCACCTACTACCATACCCCGTTCAAAGGCACTTAAATATTTTGTCTTGCCTATTTACCCTCTGAATGGCACACATATACAATCCATGTCTCAAGGCTTAAAAATCCTTCTTTAACCTGTCTCCTTGCCTTCATCTACACTGATTGAAGTGGATTTAACAGGTGACATCAATAAGGGATCATAGCTTTCACCTGGATTCACCTGGTCAGTCTATGTCATGGAAAGAGCAGGTGTTCCAAATGTTTTGTACACTCAGTGTAATATAATATATGCCATTTAGCAGAATATGTTATCCAAAGCGACTTACAGTCATGCGTGCATACATTTTACATATGGGTGGTCCCGGGAATAAAACCCACTAGCCTGGCATTACGAGTTGGAAAGAAAAAGCCATTTCTCAGACTGCCCAGACTTAATCTTTTCTTTTTATTAGCCAGTCTGAGATATGGCTTTTTCTTTGCAACTCTGCCTAGAAGGTCAGCATCCCGGAGTCGCCTCTTCACTGTTGACGTTGAGACTGGTGTTTTGCGGGTACTATTTAATGAAGCTGCCAGTTGAGGACCTGTGAGGCGTCTGTTTCTCAAACTAGACACTCTAATGTATTTGTCCTCTTGCTCAGTTGTGCACCGGGGCCTCCCACTCCTCTTTCTATTCTGGTTAGAAACAGTTTGCGCTGTTCTGTGAAGGGAGTAGTACACAGCATTGTACGACATCTTCAGTTTCTTAGCAATTTCTCGCATGGAATAGCCTTCATTTCTCAGAACAAGAATAGACTGACGAGTTTCAGAAGAAAGTTATTTGTTTCTAGACATTTTGAGCCTGTAATCGACCCACAATTGCTGATGCTCCAGATACTCAACTAGTCTCAAGAAGGCCAGTTTTATTGCTTCTTTAATCAGCACAAACGTTTTCAGCTGTGCTAACATAATTGCAAAAGGGTTTTCTAATGATCAATTAGCCTTTTGAAATGATATACTTGGATTAGCAAACACAACGTGCCATTGGAACACAGGACTGACGGTTGCTGATAATGGGCCTCTGTACGCCTACGTAGATATTCCATAAAAAATCAGCCGTTTCCAGCTACAATAGCCATTTACAACATTAACAATGTCTACACTGTATTTCTGATCAATTTGATGTTATTTTAATGTACAAAAAAATTGCTTTTCTTGCGAAAACAAGGGCATTTCTAAATGACCCCAAACTTTTGAATGGTAGTGTACACAGTACCAGTCAAAAGTTTGGACACACCTACTAATTCAAGGGTTTTTCTTTATTCTTACTATTTTCTGCATATTTTCTCCATATGAAATAACACATATGGAATCATGTAGTAACCATAAAACTGTTAAACAAATCAAAATATATTTTATATTTGAGATTCTTCAAAGTAGCCACCCTTTGCCTTGATGACCGCTTTGCACACTCTTGGCATTCTCTCAACCAGTTTCATGAGGTAGTCACCTGGAATGCATTTCAATTAACAGGTGTGCCTTGTTGAAAGTTAATTTGTGGAATTTTTGTCCTTCTTAATGCTATCAGTTGTGTTGTGACAAGGTAGGGGTGGTATACAGAAGATAGCCCTATTTGGTAAAAGACCAAGTCCATATTATGGTAAGAACAGCTCAAATAAGCAAAGAGAAACGACCGTCCATCATTACTTTAAGACATGAAGGTCAGTCAATACGGAACATTTCAAGAACTTTGAAAGTTTCTTCAAGTGCAGTCGCAAAAACCATCACATGCTATGATGAAACTGGCTCTCATGAGGACCGCCACAGGAAAGGAAGACCCAGAGTTACCTCTGTTCAATTAACTGCACCTCAGATTGAAGCCCAAATAAATGCTTCACAGAGTTAAAGTAACAGACACATCTCAACATCAACTGTTCAGAAGAGACTGCATGAATCAGGCCTTCATGGTATAATTGCTGCAAAGAAAACACTACTAAAGGACACCAATAAGAAGAATAGACTTGCTTGGGCCAAGAAACACGAACAATGGACATTAGACCGGTGGAGATTTTTGGTTAAAACCGCTGTGTCTTTGTGAGACGCAGAGTAGGTAATCCCATTGAAGGCGTTGGAGTGAGTAGTCATGCTGTACTTCGCTCCGCAGGTAATATGACACACATTACAATGGAACGATTTGATTAGTGTAATGTTAGCTAGCTACATAGATACTTTGTATCAAAGATAAAGGTGTAGTATAGAGAAACTATTGAGGTTAGCTAGCCAGCTACATTCGTTCGCAGCGACGCCGTTTTTCAAACAAAGTCAACATCGCAGCCATTGCTAGCTAGCCAACACTACCAGCTAGCAGTACTGTGGCAACTAAATACAATATCATTTTAGCCAGCTACATTCGTTCGCAGCGACGCCGTTTTTCAAACAAAGTCAACACCGCAGCCATTGCTAGCTAGCCAACACTACCAGCTAGCAGTACTGTAGCAAGTAAATACAATATCATTTTAGTCAATGAGAATTTTGCAACGTAAAGCTTCACTTTCTGAACATTCGAGATGTGTAGTCCACTTGTGTAGCTAGCATGACTGACTTTGTGCTAGCTAGCCAACGTTTAATTATTTCTGCGTTATGAAAGGAACTAGACACGGACACGAATGATCTGTTTAGTGTGTTAACACACTATTGGTAGTTTGTTGTAACCAATTATTGGTGCTAAACCGTGTGTTATTGGATGCTAGCATGCTAGTTAGCTATGGCGTCATAGGATACGGTGCCCTAGGTGGTTTTCACGGAAGAATACTGTACCAATTTAGCTAGCTGAATAAACTAAGTTAGAGTCTATTCCTAGAAAACATTGAACCGCTGTAGTTTACAACAATTATAATTTCTAAAAGTGGAAGTTGGAAGAGTTATATTTGAGTGTTTCAGTGAAAGGTAAGTGAGGGAGGCCCCGCTCTCTCTTCTCCCCAGATGTTTAGTTAATTTTATTCTGATCTCTTTTGCATTATTGTAGCCTTTTCTGTAGCCTGTCAACTATGTGTCTGTCTATCCCTGTTCTCTCCTCTCTGCACAGGCCATACAAACGCTTCACACCGCGTGGCTGCTGCCACTCTAATCTGGTGGTCCCTGCGCGCACGACCCACGTGGAGTTCCAGGTCTCCGGCAGCCTCTGGAACTGCCGTTCTGCGGCCAAAAAGGCAGAGTTCATCTCAGCCTATGCATACCCTCCAGTCTCTCGACTTCTTGGCGCTGACGGAAACATGGATTACCACAGAAAACACTGCTACTCTTACTGCTTTCCTCGTCTGATCATGTGTTCTCGCATACCCCGAGAGCATCTGGTCAGCGCGGCGGTGGCACAGGAATCCTCATCTCTCCCAAGTGGACATTCTCTCTTTTCCCCCTGATCCATCTGTCTATCTCCTCATTTGAATTCCATTCTGTCACAGTCACTAGCCCATTCAAGCTTAACATCCTTATCATTTATCGCCCTCCAGGTTCCCTTGGAGAGTTCATCAATGAGCTTGACGCCTTGATAAGTTCCTTTCCTGAGGATGGCTCACCCCTCACAGTTCTGGGTGACTTTAACCTCCCTACGTCTGCCTTTGACTAATTTCTCTCTGCCTCCTTCTTTCCACTCCTTTCCCCTTTTGACCTCACCCTCTCACCGTCCCCCCCTACTCACAAGGCAGGCAATACGCTTGACCTCATCTTTACTAGATGCTGTTCTTCTATTAATCTCACTGCAACTCCCCTCCAAGTCTCCGACCACTACTTTGTATCCTTTTCTCTCTCGCTCTCCTCCAACACTAATCACTCTGCCCCTACTCAGATGGTAATGTACCGCCGCAACCTTCGCTCTCTCTCTCCCGCTACTCTCTCCTCTTCCATCCTATCATCTCTTCCCTCTGTTAAATCCTTCTCCCTCCGATCTCCTGATTCTGCCTCCTCAACCCTCCTCTATGTCCCCTATCCTCCCGGCCGGCTCGGTCCTCCCCTCCTGCTCCGTGGCTTGACGACTCATTGCGAGCTCACAGAACAGGGCTCCGGGCAGCCGAGCGGAAATGGAGGAAAACTAGACTCCCTGCGGACCTGTCATCTTTTCACTCCCTCCTCTCTACATTTTCTTCCTCTATTTCTGCTGCTAAAGCCACTTTCTACCACTCTACATTTCAAGCCTCTGCCTCTAACCCTAGGAAGCTCTTTGCCACCTTCTCCTCCCTGCTGAATCCTCCTCCTCCTCCCCCTCCCTCCTCCCTCTCTGTGGATGACTTCGTCAACCATTTTGAAAAGAAGGTTGACGACATCCGATCCTCATTTATTAAGTCAAATGACACCACTGGTCCTGCTCACACTGCCCTACCCTATGCTTTGACTTCTTTCTCCCCTCTCTCTCCAGATGAAATGTTGCGACTTGTGACGGCTGGCCGCCCAACAACCTGCCCGCTTGACCCTATCCTATTGGTGAATTATATTGATCATGCATTGAACTGCATCCATCTATTCTGCCAACAATGCCTTACTGTACATCATGGAATTCTGAGTCAAATAGAACCTATTTGTAAAACCTCTTATAAAGTTAGTTTTGTAGCATAAACTAGGAATTTGATATTTTTGACTGATATTATGATTGTCTGTTTGTTTCACATCTGCAAAGTAGTTAAAACGCAGTCAGTTTCACTTTGAGTCTATATTATGTCCTCTTACTTGTGTCTGAAGGGGGAGACGAACTGACAGTACTGGCAGCTGTACTTGTCCTCTCTGTTGAACATGGCCATGGCTGAGTGGCTCCTCTCGTGGGACCTCAGCCCCTGCATGGACATGAAGACGCGGTCGCACTGGGAGCACGGGTGTCCCCCCACCAGCCTCTCCTTCACCTGGTCGACGGGCACCACAGCCGCCCCGACCACCGGTGACATCCCAACTGCCATCTCCGTCATCTCCATGGCAACAGCAGCCCCGGCGACCACCGGGCACATCGCGGCAGCCACCATCGTCATGTCCTTCGGGACTGATTCCATGACAGAGTCGTCGGTCAACTCTTCCACCTCCCCGTTAGTGAGGCTGCTCTCAGCTGGGATGGTGGACAACGGCACATCTGTGACTTCCTGCTGTTGAAACATTATAAGAGATATATTTATTCCCAATTTCCATTTCACAAATATGCTCTAAAAGGTAACATGACATGTAGTCCAGACTCATGTACTGTACTCAGAAATGTTGCCCTTGTAACAGAGGTGAGTAACCTTGCCTGCGACCTAGGCTTTAGCTCAGTGGGCTAAAAGAGTCTCTCTCTCTCTCTCTCTCTCTCTCTCGCTCTCTCTCTCTCTCTCTCTCTCTCTCTCTCTCTCTCTCACACACACACACACACACACACACACACACACACACACACACACACACACACACACACACAGACAGGACAGCTAACAGACAGCCAATCTTATTTATGGCCTACAGGAAACTCACTAATTCTGCAAAAGGACCTGACCCTGCACTTCATAGGACCATAAATAAGATGGGCGTCCACAGAGCTGCCCAGCCTTGTATCATCAGCCTATTCTCACCAACTCTCTGGGAGCGCTAGGTGACAGACCAGGGCCAGTCACAATGTAAATGGCAAGAGATCTAGTACAAATTAGTACAGAAACATCTAATAGCCTACATGTTCATATTAAACTAATATAGTATAATTATTCCCTTTTATTTGTTTTAAAAACTACAGACCTCTACATGCTTTGTAAGTAGGAAAACCTGCAAAATCGGCAGTGTATCAAATACTTGTTCTCCCCACTGTATATACATATCCTTTAAAAAAATATATTTCCCTTTATTACTTTCCAACCCCACCACCCCTTCCCTAATTGGAGTAAACTAGTGAACAACAATGCTTAGGCCTCTACTTCCAGCTTATACATACTATATACATTTTATGGACACAGTCAATTTTACAATCATTCAATTTTGTTTGTTTTTACTCCTGAACTTCCTTTACCCTCAACCTCGCCGATCATTTTCATGATGTCCATCCAGTTTGCTTCTATATGCCATATCTTTCTAACTGTGCTCTTTCACAAAAGCTCTCAACCTATAACCTACAGTGAGGGAAAAAGGTATTTGATCCCCTGCTGATTTTGTACGTTTGCCCACTGACAAAGACATGATCAGTCTATAATTTTAATCCAGAAAAACACATGTCAAAAATGTTATAAATTGATTTGCATTTTAATGAGGGAAATTGAAAATATTTTTTTTTGCTAAAAGTATTATTATATTATTGATCGATTGACTATGACTTTTCAGATCACCCAGTAGTGCTATCTGCAGGGTTAGCTCCAGGTCTGTAAACAATTTAATGAAATATGTTTAGTTGTGAATACATGTTACTATCGATGTTCCTGAACAGATTTGGCTAGGTTTCCCTAATTAAGCACTGGGTAAATGCAGGAACAGGGTTGGAGAGCCCATGGCATACAGAGTTTGGACGGAATATAACCTGTCGTGCAGTGGTTGATGAATGGAGTGAAATAACCGGAGTAGCCTGAAAAAGGAACCAGCGGGAAAGTGGCCTCCATTCACTATTCGAGCGCAAATGGATGACTAAATCAAAACTAATTTTACATATTAATAAAGACAAGATTAAATTGAGAATAGTGAAAATATGATCACTTGATGAGAGTGTGCAGCCTGAGGCAAGGAACAGATCGCAAGCTTTTTTTTACTACTTTCTCAAATCATCAAAAGCCTATAGTCGCATCAGCCAGCCCATATATGTTTTGATTTCTAAGACATTATAAGGTTTGTATCATTCACAACTAACGTTGCCCAATAACTCTAAATCTAGCGTATAGGACCTGTTTCAAATTATCACTTTTACGCTCAACATAGCCACTTCATATGCGCACTCGATCCAGAATGGGAAACATATCCTTTCTATTTTATTCAGCTAAGATCAATTATATTCTTCTTACTATCAAATCATGTATTATAAAATAATGGCACGGGACTTATAAGCATATCTTGTTTACTAAATGAACAAGTCTACATATGGCATGGCGCATAGCCAGATAACATACAGTAGGCCAACTCATTATGTTATTCTGAAATACATTTTCTTCGTATCATAATGTTTCTTTAGACCTGACTGAAATAAATAATGGATTTATTGTAATGGTGTATATTAAATTGATTTATTCTACTAATGTAGATGTTTCAAAGGTGCGCATCGGCGGCTTGTATGCATGGAGTCCTGGAGATGCTAAACATGTTTATGTTAATTAACAGTAAATTACCGTGAGACTGGCAGGCTTTTGCATGACAATAACCGGCTGACAAAATGTTATGACCGCCACAGCTCTAGACAGCATGCCAAATATAGAACTACTTGTTGCTTTGTGGCCATAGACATACAGTGCATTCGGAAAGTATTCAGACCCCTTGACTTTTTCCACATTTTATTACGTTACAGCCTTATTCTAAAATTTCTTCCCTCATCAATCTACACACAATTGTTGAAGCACTTTTGGCAGCGATTACAGCCTCAAGTCTTCTTGAGTATGACGCTAAAAGCTTGGCACACCTGTATTTGGGGAGTTGCTCCTATTCTTCTCTGCAGATCCTTTCAAGCTCTGTCAGGTTGGATGGGGAGCGTCGCTGCACAGCTATTTTCAGGTCTCTCCAGAGATGTTCGATCGGGTTCAAGTCCAGGCTCTGGCTGGGCCACTCAAGGACAGTCAGTTTGGCCGGGTGGCCAGCTCTAGGAAGAGTCTTGGTGGTTCCAAACTTCTTCCATTTAAGAATGATGGAGGCCACTGTGTTCTTGGGGACCTTCAATGCTGCAGACATTTTTTGGTACCCTTCCCCAGATCTGTGCCTTGACACAAATCCTGTCTCGGAGCTCTACTGACAATTCTTTCGACCTCATGGCTTTGTTTTTGCTCTGACATGCACTGTCAACTGTGGGACCTTATATAGACAGGTGTGAGCCTTTCCAAATCATGTCCAATCAATTTAATTTACCACAGGTGGATTCCAATCAAGTTGTAGAAACATCTCAAGGATGATCAATGGAAACAGGATGCACCTGAGCTTAATTTCGAGTCTCATAGCAAAGGGTCTGAATACTTATGTAAATAAGATATTTATATTTCTTAGTTTTCATAAATTTGCATAAATAAATAAAAAACTGTTTTCGCTTTGTCATTATGGGCTATTGTGTGTAGATTGAAAAAATAACTTAATCAATTTTAGAATAAGGCTGTAACATAACAAAATGTGGAAAAAGTCAAGGGGTCTGAATACTTTCCGAATGCACTGTAAAGCATTGTATTCCGAATGCACTGTAAAGCATAATCCATTGAAGGGTTTTAGAACCTCTTACTCTGGCAATTTGACTGTTAAAATCATGGATAAACTAAAAATGGATGCCAGTCCTGACTTGACTGGGAACTGCCATCTATGGATTATATTTCTATGGTTGGTTGTGACTGTCATTTTGCCTTTAGCAAACTTCAAAATACAATCGTGGTTAAAACGTAATTTGGAAAGCAAATGCCTATTGCTGAAAAGAGAAGACTAATCTGTCTGTAGAATCAAAAAATGGTTTTCTTCTCAACAACTCCCAACTTTGAGCGAACAGCAACACTTTTTTTCAAAGTAGCTTATCTTGAGATAGGCTATTGCCACGACGAGCGCATCGGCCATCACCGGTAAGTCAGTGTGCCACTGGAAAGTTTATTTAGAAGCCTACTGTAGCCTGTAATATATATTTCCTCCTAATATTGTACAATCTGTGTGTCGCTTCATTGGCCTGAGCTATTGTTTGAATTCAAGACCAGATTGTTAATATTAATCTCAGTTTGTCAGTGTCAGAGTAGCCACTCATTTCGATCATTTGTGTGGTATTTAAAAAAGATTCTGCCAATGTCTTCTGTCATGTAAATGACTTAGAATTGCATGAAATGAGAATGGAGCTGCTTTGGAAAGCTCTTAACTTTTTTTGTACATAATGTTTACGCCATAATTTCCAATGACCAAAAAGAGCTTCTTGAAATCAGAACAGCTATCACTAACCTCAATTTGGACTTCTACTTCAATGAGTCGGAGGCGAAAGACATATTGATTATCCCGGACCAGGCCCAAATTCCCTACACTTGTAGAAGGAGAAGACGGCACTATAGAGGCCAGCGCGTGGTCACCATGATGAGACTACGGCGGCAAGTGAAAAAAATCGCCTCGACCTTCTGTTCTATTGGCGAATGTGCAATCGCTGTTGAATAGACTGGATGAGGTCCGTTCGAGACTACTCTATCAACGGGACATTAACAACTGTAATATACTATGCTTCTCAGAGTCATGGCTGAACAAGTACATGGATAATATACATCTAGCTGGTTTTTCTATGCATCGGCAGGACAGAACGGCAGAGTCAGGTAAGATCGGGGGGCGGTGTGTGTTTCTTTGTAAACAACAGCTGGTGAACAATAGCTAAAATTAAGGAAGTCTCAAGGTTCTGTTCGTAGCTGTCTATTTACCACCACAAACCGATGCTGGCACTAAGACCCCACTCAACGAGCTGTATAGAGCCATAAGCAAACAAGAAAATGCTCATACAGAGGCTGCGCTCTTAGTTTCCAGTGATTTTAATGCAGGAAAACGGACATCTGTTTTACCTCATTTCTAATAGCATGTCACCTGTGCAACTAGAGGGGAAAAACTAGAGGGGAAAAACTCTAGATCACCTTTACTCCACACACATAGACGCATCCGAAATGGCGCCGGAGAAGATGGCTGCCGTTTTACAGCCCTCTAGCCAATTGTACTATTATGTGTGTTTTTCCGCGTTATTTGTAATTTATTTTGTACATAATGTTTCTGCCATCGTCTCTTATAACCAAAAATAGCTTCTGGATATCAGGACAGCGATTACTCACCTCGTATTGGACGAATAATTTTTCTTCAACGAGGCGGCCGCGAAGGATATCTTACAGACACCCGACAAGGCCCAAATCCCCGTCATTCGCATGAGGAAGAGACGGAGATATCGTGGACGTAGGTCGGGGTGCCTTGTAAGGATCCGACGGCGAGCGAGTAAACTGCCGCTCCCATCAATCCTATTAGCCAA